CAGCCCCGCCGCCGCCGCTGCCCTTCGCGCCGCCGACAGGAGCCCAGGACAGAGAGCGCCTGCAGGCACGCAGCCAGGACTGCCAGCGCTGGCTACAGGCGCACGGGGGAAATGTAGTTGCCGCGCAGGGTACAAAGAGATGTCGCTGCCTGGAGAACGGCACCTTAGGGCATGTTCACGTCCCCTACATTCTCTCCTCTTGTCTTCCCCGCTCCCGCTGGCTGCAGGCATGGAGACCCCCAGCGCACAGGAAGCCGCAGGGCAACAAGCCAGCGCACAAGCCAGCGCACCGACGGGACAGGCCACTGGCCCTGCGAACACCAACACCGTGAAGAAGCGAAGCTGCCCCAAGAAGCAGAGGGGCAGACCTTCGTCCCAGCCCCCCAGGAACATCGTGGGCTGCCGGATTGCCCACGGGTGGAAGGAGGGCGACGAGCCCGTCACCCAGTGGAAAGGGACCGTTCTGGATCAGGTGCCTATAAACCCGTCTCTCTATCTGGTGAAATATGACGGGATTGACTGTGTCTATGGACTCGAACTTCACCGAGATGAGAGAGTGTTGTCTCTTAAGGTTCTCTCGGACAGGGTGGCATCATCTCAGGTCGCTGATGCAAACCTTGCCAGCACCATCATTGGCAAAGCGGTGGAGCATATGTTTGAGGGCGAGCAGGGTTCTAAGGATGAATGGAGAGGGATGGTGTTAGGCCAAGCACCAGTCATGAGATCGTGGTTTTATATTACCTATGAGAAAGATCCTGTGCTGTACATGTACCAGCTTCTGGATGACTATAAGGAAGGAGACCTGCGGATCATACCAGAGCCCAATGAGCCTCCTCCGGCCGAGAGGGAGCCCGGAGTTGTGGATGGCCTGATAGGCAAACACGTGGAATATACCAAAGAAGATGGCTCCAAGCGGATCGGCATGGTCATTCACCAAGTGGAAGCCAAACCCTCTGTGTACTTCATCAAGTTTGATGATGATTTCCATATCTATGTCTATGACTTGGTGAAAAAGTTCTAACTGTTAGTGTAGAATTTGCCACATTTGTGAAAGGGAATGTATAGTTTGTGGATTTGCAAAATGATGATGTTTTTCGGTGTGTTGGAGCTTAAGGGTCCTGTTGATTTAGCATTGTTGCGGGCATAACTGTTGTTTGTTCTGAAAAATACAAATGTGTGTGGACATGCCATGCTGTGTGGAAAGACTTTGTCATGTTGAAGAGACACTGGGTGTGTTTGGTGGATGGGCATGAAAGGAAGGGACAGCTGTAGATTCAGGCTGTGAATAAAGTGCAGCTAGCATCATAATCAGTCATCTAAAAATGGAAGAGGACTTAGCTGGCCTGGTCTAGGAAGGAGGGAGGAGAAGGAACTAGAGATGGGCTGTGGGGGGAGGGCAAAGGAGAGGTGACTGCTTAGGAAGAAGTGGGGAGGGCCAGAAGTGGAGGGGCTTCCTGGGGGGAGGGATGTCTTAGCAGGGGGCGGCACCCAACTGGGAGGAGATGAGAATAACAGAGGGAGGGAGCTCTTGGGGCTGAGAGGAAAACAGACTGAATAGCTTGAGTAGAGCGGGGCACAAAGATCTCAGAAGAGGTCCAGAGCAAGGGGAGAAAGACAAAGTTGGCAGGGGTTTGGGGAGAGGCTAAGGATACTTCCTCTGAGGTAGGACCTATGCCTGTGAGGACCAGAGGGCCAGGGATACTGAAGAAGGAGGAATTCTAAGAAGAAAGACTGACCAAGGGAGTGAGCTGCAGAAAAAGAGGCGTGGGGAGTGGGGCCCAGGAGGGATGGGAAGGCCCAGGAAAACTTGCACTTGTGACATGTCCACATTGCTGTCCCTGGCTAGGAAGGCCAAGGCAGGAGGCAACTGAAAGAAATCAGGTGGTTTGCAGGTTCCCTGGAAGGGTGTTTTGACAGGGATGACTCAAGGGTTAAGCAGGAGCCAGGTTTACACCTCAAAGTCTTATTTCAGGGACTTCATGCCACAACTGCAAAGCAGAGCCCCTGACCCTCAGCCTAAACACACTAGCATGTGCATTAAGCGTGTGGCTGTGGGTGGCCTCATTGCTCAGAGGACTCAGGTGCAACAAATCCTGGCCCTGAAGGGCTTGGTTCCTTACCCTACACTGTCTAAGCATTTCCTGTGGGAATGGGTCGGCGGGGCTCTCAGATCTGAAGAGCTGTGCCCTGTTGCATTCGGAAAGCATTGTATCCACAAAACTGGAACCTTGCAGAACCAGCAGCATCAGTCCCTTCCTTGTTCTCTCTCTGGCTGGACTGAACCTTGCTTCCCTTCAGAGGAGGGACATCAGAGGATTGTGCCTCCTGTTTCTCCCCAGGGCATGGGCATGCCAGTCCAGGCTTCTCATAGTTGGCTTCAGTCCCTGCCTCTCACAGGTGGCTCCAGCCAGTGCCCACCAAGCTGAGGTCTGCTGTCCCCAGAAGCCCCATGTGTTGGCTGTATCCCAGCAGGTGGGCTGGCTACTGACTTCTCCGGGAGCTGCTGGCCAGTTTCGCCCGCCCAGGCACAGGGGAGCAGTGATGGGAGTTAGTGGGGCTGTGTTTCCAGGTGAGCTAGATGGCATGGGCAGTCAGGCTGGGATCCGTGGCTGGGTGTCACTCACTCCTTCGGCTCTGTGTTGCCACAGAGAGGTGTAGTGCTTGTTGGTTTGAGACTACAGTAACCCCAATAAAGTCCCTCAGAGATATGGTGTTCTGACACATGGGCCCTTCTCTTCCTCTCTTCCTTGCCTTTCCCCAGTGCTGCCATGGAAGGTCCCCTTAACACC